TCAATGCTCCAATGAGGATGCTACGCCAACATGATATGTTTTCGATTGACCTATGTAAGACTAATTATGCTCTAAATGAACCAATTATAAGGATAATGAATGATTTTAATGCTTTATGCAAAGTGTACAATGAAACATTTTTGCCAATAGGATAGAATTTAAGACAACCTTGTGTACATGTTATTCTTAATGTTACAGTTTATTAAGTTTTTTTTGTTATTATAGTCTGTAAGATTATACTAATCATAGACTCCAATAAATAAATAAATAAATAAAAATAAATAAATAAAGTTAAAGGTAAAAGTTAGAGATAGCAAAGATCTTCTGGCTTCCAGAGATTTAAGGTCTATTAATAGCAAACCAGACTTATACGATGGAATAGGCTCGCTGAAGTTAAGATTTCTGAGGGCAAATTTAAGAAAAACCTTCTGAGCCCTTTCAATCCTATTAATTAGGTTTGAGTGGTATGGCCTCCGGATAAAAGAACCATATTCTAACTTAGAACGAACAAAATATGTGTATAACAATCTAAGTGTATAGGGGTCAGAGAACATTGAGCTCTGACGCCTGAGAAAACCAAGTACAGCGTAAGATTTAGAAATAGAGCTCTCGATTTTGTTCGCACATTTTCAAACAGCCCGGGTATATGAGCAGCGAGTACTCGCACACTTGTTCAATGCTCATTACTCGAAAATTTTCGAGCATGAGCTCGAGCAATTCGAGTAATTTGAGCAATGTTTTTTTTATTATATTGACATCTTTGGTAGCAACTTTTTAAATTTTTCAAATTATTGATATATAATGCAAAGATTGTTACATTGGTATTTAATAATATAATTTATTTAACATGAAATAGAAAGCAGCTGCTGACAAATACAATTTAAATTTTCTTTTGTTTATGAAATTGTTCAAAAACTCGACAATTTTGAACAAACATTTGAGTAGTTGAGCAATGAACGAGTTTCGAGCGAGTATCGAGCTATTCGCATTGCTCGATACCCGGGTATCTAGAGCTCTATTTAGAAATGATGTGACTGGTATGACTGCTAAAAGACCAATTAGAGCTGAAACTTACACCAAGGTCTTTGATTTCTTGGACTTTTTGAAAATGAGTTTGAGAGATTACATAAGACGTCGAAAGAATATTGTGACTTTTGGAAAAAGTAACTTGAAAACATTTTTTAATATTCAGAGAAAGGCGAGAGCTGAGACACCAGCGGTGTAGAATATTAATCCCGGACTGAAGTCTTAGCGCATCATGCGCATTTTCAATCAAAGCAAAAATTTTTAAATCGTCAGTGTTGGCTTTCATATAAACTGTGTAATATTGTTTTTGATGTGAACCTTGGGTAATACCGTCCTTTTATGTAAACCCTGTGTAATATTATTTCGATGTTAACCTTTTATCAATGTACTACCCCTATCCCTGATCGATAAATGGCAATTAGTTATCGATGTGCGACAGAAATCTAGGAGCACTAAGCCATTTGCGATCTGGAAATAGAGGGAAACACACGAAAGTGTGTGTATTTAATTTGTCGTAATTTATCTGACATAATTTTGTAAATCCTTATAGGAAATAAAACTCATCACCACATTTTCACTTGTACGTAATTGCTGGTGTTTTATTTACCCCCTCACCAGATCGGGAATCAACAGTCAGCATACAGCAAAAATTTAGCAAATGAAAAACAAGAACTCACATAATTTATAAATAATACAAAGAGTAAGGGACATAAAATGCTACCTTGAGGAACCCCCGATGAGGCAATTAAAGATTCCGAAGAACAACCATTAACAGAGACCACACAGCGCCTATCCGACAAATAAGATTTGAGCCATTGCAAAAATACTGAGTGGAAACCCAGTGAGGCTAGCTTACTGACCTACAAACTGTGCGAAACTCTATCAAATGCTTTGGCAAGATCAGTGTAAACGCAGTCGACTTGGAAACCGTTCGAGATAGCTGCAATACAATACTCACTAAAGACGCCTAGATTAGTTACCGTAGATCGGTTGGGGACGAAACCATGTTGATTGGGTGAGACTAGACTTTT